CCTGTTGAGTTTTTGTAGAGCAAAAATGATCATGTTTGTTTACAATGAAACCTCTGTGGGGAGCCTTAATGTCGCAGAACTTATGAGGAATTCTTCTCATACTTTGTGTCATCACCATTTGTTCTGTTAAGAGGTGATCTGAAGGTTATGGTTTTAATAGAGGGAAAGTTGTAGCATTAAGTTCTGATCCTTTAAAATTTATCATGGAACATTTTTCCTTTTTCTCATAAACACAGTAATATCTTTATATGTAATTGCCAGTCATCTGGAGGTCTTTAAAGTTCATTGAAGATTTTTTTTAAAGGGCTTCTTTTGAAATTGTGGTTTACTTTATACCTTTGGGAATGTTAACAGTCAAGCTTTTAGAGTTTAATATCTGCATAACTGTATGATGTGTTCATTAGTTTGATATTGGATTTGAAAATAATCTATAATGATTGTTTTTCCTTTCCCGTTTAACGTTCAGGCTTAGCAGTTTCTTCACGATCTGAACTGGACTGAACAATTCTTTCTGTTTTAGATAAAATAATACATTATTTTTTGTATTTGTGGTAGTTTATAATTGTACATTAGATGGATATTTTAAGAGGTCAAAGGTTTTCTTGTATGTAGTTTTCAATCAAATACAGTAGCAGTTATCTAAGGAAACCTCTGGGGCTTACAGATGCACCAATGGGTTCATATTTGAAGCACAAGTGACATTACAGTCTCCATTTTCCAAGACTTTCTCTAAAAAAGGCAATGACAGTGATTATAGAATTTTAATTGTAAAGTGCTTTTTATTTAATCCCTCATGAGGGATTGGAATAGTTAGTATCATAACTCAGCAGTACCTTGTTTAGTCCCAACAGGATCCAATCCCTTACTAAGGATGTAGAAAAAGTCAAGGAGGATTTTAAACTCAGTGTACTATAAAAGAACAAAGCACATAAAGAGAGTGATTGGATTTTTGTATGTTTGATACTATGAGCTGCACGGTGGTGCTGTTGTTTTAAAGAAAGAAGGTTCTAGATTCAATTGCCAGCCCAGGGTCTTTTTCATATGGAGTTTGCATGTTCTCCCTGCAGTGTCCCTGCATGAGAGGGTTCTCTCCGGGTACTCCCGCTTCCCCACACAGTCCAAAAAGATGACCGTTAGGTTAATTGGCAACTCTAAATTGTGGTTATATGTTTCTGTGATGCCCTGCAACAGACTGGTGATCTGACACAATTATCCTGAAGGACAGAAGTTTGAATTGGGAAAGGAACAGACTCCAGACCTCTAATCGAGCCCCCTCTAGCCTCTCCTTGCCTCTCCTATACTTATTTGAGCAACATATGCAGTTCCTTGAAATATATAGAAATTGTGAAAGTATGTCTATGACGAATTACCTGAATCCCTTTAAGCAGTTGGGTATTGTAATTAGCTTTTTCCCCTCTGAAGAACATCAAAACACATCTTCATTGCCTCAAGGAAATGTTATCATGTCTTTATATGTTAAAGAACAACTAACAGAAAGCTTGCAACTTATATTTTTTTTTTACTTTATTTAACAGTTAGACTTAGTTTTTGTTATCCATTTAATTATGTTCACTTATCATGAGACACTATACAACGGAGATCCTTTTTAAATTTTTTAACTAACGCAGGTTATCTGCTTCAAGAAAAACATTTTAAAAAAGTATTATCAAATGTATAACAAGCCTTTGGTTGTGATTAAAGTGAATGTTTGTTTCTTCTTTGCTCTTGGTATCTTGACAGTCTTTGACAAAGTAGATAGTTTTAGGTTCAGTAAAGTATTACAGAATGTTATCTTTTCATTTCATGCACACTGGTTGCAGTGAGATACTGGTCTGCAGAACAAAGGCTTAGGACAAAACCCTTGGCAATATCCAGACGGCAACAATAGAAGGAGGCATTGAAAGGAACGGCACGGCACAACAGTCCTGAAAGTTTTATTGGATATGAAAAGCGACACAAAATGCTCACTGCTTCCAATGGCATTTTATGCCTTCAGAAATCAGGGGTTCCCGGCAAACACTCACTGAACACACAAGAGTAGGTTCAAGGGGTGGCTGTTGAATAAATCGTTGTTCTGGAGGATTCTGAATGTAAGAATATTGCTTTGTATGAATTATTCATTTCCTATTTTCTCACTTTGTTTGACCACTGGACTCAAGGTCTCCATTAGTCCTGTGTGAAACAAGTGTTTGTTAAGGCTTAGGCAATAAATAAAACCATTTATCCATAACTCTGGAAAGGTCCCAGATTTGTATAAATTACACCCTCATAAATCTTTTGGTGTTTGTAAAAAGACAACTTTCGTTCTGCTGATGAATGTTATTATATATATTTTTTTTCATTTTCAAGTGCATGTAAAATAGAAGGTAAGGATTGCTACTGTACAACTTGCTTACCTTTGTTTAACAAAAAAAACTTGTGTCAGTACATGCGGAGAAATCCACTAAGCTTTATGGATGTGGAAGTATAGAATCTTATTTTACTATATTATTGAAATGATCAATTTTCCGTTATGAATGTAAACAGCGCAGCATCCTGTTTAGCACTGTAGTCTTTCATAGAGATGGTTTTGAGTGCAAATCCTTGCCGGGAGTCATCCTGCATGAACATTGCATATTCCCCATGATTATGTGCATCAAGCTCCCTTCTGTAGTTCAAAATCCTGTTTGCTCAGTTAATTGGTTTATTCTCTTGTTATTTCTAATATAGAATGTATGCATATCTGGTTGTTTTTCCTGCCATGTGATGGACTGGGGACCTATCCCAGGTACCTCTGTTGCATGAGGTGTAATAAGGTTTAAAAAACATTTCCGTCCATATTGACATGATAGCTTCACAGTTTGTCGATTGCTTATCCAAAATGTGAATCTTTTAATTCTAGGTTATCCCAAATGGGCTCAAATATATTGAGTTCTGCTTCTTGTTGATACTGTTGAAGTACACTGGATTAATTTTCTTATTGAAGAAAACATTTGAGATAAAATGAGTTTTTTTTAACATCGTTAACTATCCTGCTGTTTGTAGCTATCATGAGATTTGTATTCTGTAGCTGTTAAGAATTTGAGAAAATAGTAGATAGGAGGGCTTTGGAATTTAAGCTATAATCAGTCGCTATAGAGGCAGTAGAAGTGTGTTTAAAAAATATTCTTTGTACCACTGAACTCCTGAACTGATCAAGAAAACTGGGATGAATGCAACCCACATATTCTTTAATTATCTTTAGACAAAGTTCTAACCTCACCATCTGAATATAATCATATAAATCTACACTCATTGAATAGATTTTTCTTTTCTTTTTTTTTTGAACTATAACCTTAGCTTCCCATTCTTAGTTAAAATGTCATATCAGGTTGTAACAACTAGTTATTTGAGCCGATGTTGGCTTTCCTCAATTCCATTCAAACTGAAATAAAAATCACATATCTTATATTTTTAAATAAACTATATGCACATGCATGATTAAATAATGCATTTAGAACCTTGCGGGTATTATTTGCCACCGAAAACATAACATTTTCCGAACCCTATCTGATCATATGTGGGTTCCCTCCATTTTACCACATTGCAATATTACCACTTCTGACAGCTGAACATTCTGAGACAACTTTATTTTTTCAGGATGTAGAAATTAGCTTAAAAGAAAAGTTGCTTCCCTGCGCTGAGTACCTGCTGAAAGAGCCACTTTGTGCCGGAATCATCAAGCTCTGCCTTACATCACCTCTCCCTGATTAGAGAAAGTGGGTGATTTTTTTTTAAGTTCTGGCACAGCTCGGTTGAGGTAGGTGTTACCTGAAGGGGTCTTCTATGTGGATATTTCTCATCCACTATTTTTCACAGGAGAGGAGAGGGATGATGATCGGACAGCAGAACTCAGACAGCAAAACTTACAAAAGCATGGATCGAGCAAAATACCACTTTGTCCATGAATTTGAGGAAGGAATTGCATTTGAACATAGTTAACTGACCCGTATAGACCCTTTAAGAAAGCTTACTGTAAATGGGAATTAAATGTTGTAACTTTCCATTTTTAAATGTCCTCTCAGCAATTTTGATGACAGCTTTGGGTAGAAACAATCTCTAGTTGACAGTGTTAAAGCTGTTATGAAGAAACTTCTGACTTAAAAGATATGGACTGTTTCTGAATATCCTCCCTATCCTTTAACCCCTCAATCACTACACTGTACAGTATAGAGTAGGGACTACAGTATATTGTGGACTTTATAGTACTGTAAACTCAGTTAAAGACGTCTACCATTCTCCTCTTGCATCAATAATAAATTTTTTCTGTCTAAAACAATGGTTGCTTACTAGATTTTGTTCTCTTTTCTGACAGTTTTCAAGAAAATCTTAGTACTGAGTAATAATAATCCCAATAGATCAGCATTTCTATCTATTTACACCCACCAAATGCGTAATTTAAACTTTAGCAGGCTGTCTAAAGTACATAAATTCAATACGTTTTTGACAACTGATTAGCTGAGTCATCACCTGTACCACTTTTTTTCTGATAAATTATTAAGCAGTTTCAAAAGACTGTTCAGTATAGTTAAAAAGATGCCTTATATACTTTCAGCATGTGTTGAATACAAAATCAAAAATGACTACTTTATGCATAATCAATTTGCACATAACATTCATCTTGCTCATTCTTTCATATCAGTTCATGTTTATCACTGCTGCTCTTTATCTCTTGTTATGCTTAAAGCTCCCAAGAGGTGTATTTATTTGAATTTTTTAAAAACACAAAGAGACTGTTAACCTCCATAAAAATAATTTGAAATGGTTGACTTTATTTACCTGACTGAATCGTCTCTCTCTCTACGATTTTGTTTTCTCTGCCTATTTCTCACATTTTTCAACTCATCCCTTAATTTCATTTTATCCCCAATGTTTATCTACATTTTTTTCACTTTCCCATCTTTTTTCCAATCTTTTTGCATTAGTGTTTTTTTTTTTTTTCCTCCGTGTCTTTAACCGTTCTCCCTCTGTCTCCTCTGCAGCTGGGATCGTTCGAAAAAGGCAGTGGTGTGAGATGGTTCCGTGTTTGGAGGACGAAGGCTGTGACCTGTTAGTCAATAAATCTGGATGGACTTGTACACAGCCTGGAGGCCGAGTTAAAACCACCACGGTAAGTTCAGAGGCCCTGTGAGCTCTATGGCTACATAGACAATACATACAATCAGTTCCAGTAAAAACAAATCAAATCCAATGCAACTCTTTATGATTAATTTGATATGTTTCACTGGCATTTGTTATAATGAGAAAACCATTATTTTTCCTTGAAAACAAACAACTAAAAGGAAAATTTTCTCAAAGAAATATAAACATTACCACTGAAAAAATTATGCAACTTTTTTTTGCATTTACTTAATCATATTTAGTTACTTTAACGCAATTGTTTCATTTTAGCAGGGCAGGACATAAAACAATTGTGTTAAAGTAACTAAATATGATTAAGTAAATGCAAAAAATCGGTTGCATTCTTTTTTTCATTGTAGTCTTACTTTGCAAAACCTGCAATACCTGCTAATATATAATTTGCTTCATTGTGCTTGAGTGACTTGCTAACTGCCTTCACCTGAGCCCTATAAGGTATATATTAAATATCGCCAAGAGGAACCAGAACCAACCATATAGAAAGGCTGAGGGTCTCTTGTAAATGCTGCATCAATGCAAAAGGAGTTCATCCACATCCTTATTCATCAGTTAGATGTTGTTTTCCTGCTACTGTAGGTTGATTGACTTAAGAAAATAAACTATAGCTGTCAATTGCAACCTTATTTACATCAGAGAGCTGGGATCTTTCAGTAGCACATGCAAATGTCTCTCCATAAACAAAAAAATAAATAAAAACCATTCCTTGGAAAAAAATCTTTCTCTCCAATTCCTACAAACTCTATGGGCTTTGTTTACTTCCTCATCAGCAGTAATTAGTTTAAATTAGAGACTCTTAATGGTAATGATGGCAGCAGATGGGGAGCTGCAGCTTGTGTTGGTTAAAATGCCGCCCATTCAATCCTCCACACCTTATATCCACTCAGCTGAGGCTCCTCCTCTGCTCTGCTCTCTGCTACTTCTCCTCCTTACCCTTTGAAAATTGCAAACATCCTCTTATTGTCAAGCCTTTTTACTATAGCGTCACAAACTATTTCTCCTATTACAGTTTTTAATGTGGCAATGTACAATCTCTACAATGAGGCTCCATAAAGTCCCACAGCAGTTGCCTTGTATGTCATTGTCATTGTGGCATCATTAATGCATGTGTAATGATTTATTAATCATCAGTGTTTATGTCTTCATGCTACACACACATGCATGCATGCAAACATGGATATAAGCCCAGCAGACTTAAAATGTCAAACATAGGAGCGCACTGAAACATGTATACGGATATAAACTGCAATCATGAGCGATGACACAAACCTGAAAATGAGCGTTCTGTGGAAAAACAGCGACATATCACTCACACTAATAGGTCAAATATACAGTAGCAGATGTTATTTATTATATGTGAAATACAATATACAAAAATTAGCATCTGTGTATTATGGTGTGGAGTTTGCAGATATAGCCCCCATTGGACTCGAGTGGATCTGTTACGTGTGTGTTGCATTGATTGCTCCAAATATGTGGGTTCCAGGGTTTGCATATTCATGACATGTATCTCCGCTTTACAGCAGAGAGAGACCCTACAAGCTTTGCCCTACATGTGCACTTCACATGGTGCTTTAAGGTGTCAGTCAGTGTAGCTCTCAGCCGCTTACGCTGACAATATGCAGAAAGTGACAGGTATTGCTTGCTTGCTTCATTGGCTACTTTAAACTTGGTGACAGCTAGTCAAATGGCTGGACAGCTAGACGCACTCATCTGTGCCAGTGGCTGTGTGTGTTAGTGTGTGCGTGGTGAGGAGTGTAAGTGTGTTTAAGCTGCTTTCACTTTTGGGGTGAGAAAAACTGGTAATATCTTAAAGAAAATTTAAAATATTATATATATTAATATGTTGGATAGAAATTTTCCTGGCATTACCACCTTGACAAAAAAATAAACCTTTGGTTTAAAGTATTTGTATTAAAATAGCAGTTCAGTGTTCTGCAGCTGTTCAATCTTTAATACAGTGTATTTTTAATTTAAATTATAGATATAATTATGTGGGGAAAAAATAAACGCCCCTCTGTTTAATTATATGTTTTGAGTAATATTATTATCGATATGTCGGAGGGAATAAATTATTATTTGATGCACAGGAAGAACATGCAAGCATCTTTGATTGTACCCTGGGATTTACTAATTGCCAGACAGCTACGCCATTGCACAATCCTTTGCGATTTAATTAAATACTTTTATTTGATTTTCAGTTCCTTAACGTTTCAATACCACCACTGTCTGATCTGTATTCAATCAGAAATTGCAAGGGTTGGTTGATGTAGCAGGGGACCCAAATGCAGAGTAGAATTAGGCAGGGAAGATTACCTGCAAAATTGAATGAAAAAGTCAAAATGCAAAATACGAAGTCCAGAACTGATTGACAAGAAAACTTAAGAAACAAAAAACTAGGAGACACGAGGAAGGATTAAATAAAAAAAAGAATGACGAGGATCCTGCACTGAACAGGAGGTGTGTGTATATATATATATATATATATATATATATATATATATATATATATATATATATATATATATATATATATATATATATATATATATATATATATATATATATGAGACAAAAACAATGGGAGGGAGGACTAATTAGCTAATAGGGAGCAGGCGTAGACAGAAGTAACTAGAAGGAACTAAGGGAAAGGAGACTGCTACAAGGGGGCAACAGAGAGTAACTCAAAAAATCAGCACTGCGTAAATATAACACAAAATGGAATAGAAACCATTGACCAAGAAAACACAGAATGACATAAATCAAAGTGTAACTGAAACGTAAACAGAAGTCCACAAAGGGCACAATCATGACAAGAAATATTCCTGAAGGAATACATTTATTTATATCGGATTAGCACTTGAAAAGTGTTGTAGGTTTTTATCAGTCAGATAGCCAACAGTCCACAGGAAGATGCGGGAGAGGGGAAACACTATACTATTCTATGCATTTAGAGTGCCAAACTGTTCCTTTCAACAGCTTGTATATCTAATTAAAAGTGTTTCCAAAGCACACGGATAATATAAAAAACAACTTTTTTTTATTTTGTGAAAATATTGATTAACCTGATATTAGAAAGTAATCTATACAGTTTGATGTAAAGTAAAACAAGCTGCTATGATTGCATTACTCACGACTGGAAGTATTTCCAAACAAGCAAATGTATCTTGTTAAAATAAATTATGATTCAAATCTTATTTGGTGACATTTATTTAAAAAATGCAAATTAGAATCAGTTTTAATACAACATGATTTTTTGCATAATCAAGAAATGTTACTTAAAACACTGGCAGATATAAGGTTACTGTATACTCTATGGATATAGATTGTATATGTTTTTATTTTTAAATTACGCAAGCATCATGTTAACTTTGTACTCCTTCTTTAGAGTCCCCACTTTTCCTTCACTGGAAAAAGATCTAGAAATAAGTAAAACTGTCTCAAATTAAGTGCATTTACCCTTAACTTTAGTAGGTTAATGAGATGATTTGCCAATGGAATTAGTATTTTTACTCTTTAAATAAGATATTTAGATAAAATGCACTTGAAATAATAAAAATGCAATTGTGTTTCCTTATTTAAATGTAAATTGTCTAGTTCCATTGGCAAAATGTCTGTTATACCTTCTAAATTTAGGAACAAACGCACTTAGGGCCGGATTTATCAAGATCCAATTTTGCGTGCAGTAATTTGCGCGAGGGGCTGAACCATGGTTTGCGGGTGATTTAACAAGAGTGATTGCGTAACTGGTGGCAGGTGCAAAACTGTTGGAGACTCCCTATTTAAATGATGGTTTTGCGCGTTTTGTGGTTTGCGGCAAAGTAGTTTGTAGTTTGTGCAAACTAGTGTATTAAGAAATTTTAATCTTACAGTGACACCCCCACCCCCTCCAAAAAAAATAAAAATATATATATATATATATATATATATATATAAATATATATATATATATAAACTTTGGCAACCTTTATTCCCTAAGGTGGTATGTGGCTGACTTTCTACTTCACTGCAGTAAAAAAAAACAAAAAAAACAGGTGTTTTGTATTGACCTGTAGAAAAATATGGATAAGATGACTGCGCGTACGCATCCCCGCAGCATTGGCATGATATCTGGTATTGCGTGGGTCCTCCTTGTGGCTGGCTCCAAATCCATTCGGAGTTCCCCCAACAGCTCCAAAATGGCAATGCTGGATAAACGATATGTTTTGATGATCGTTTCCTCGTTCATTCCAAAAATATTCACACGGAGTGAAAAAATGCATTCTCTGCGTCTCCTTGCTTCATTTCGATGTCTCCTTCTTACAACAATAACCGCTGCCATGTGTGCGCAATTACGCATACAGACCATTTGCACCTTCTTTTGAAACGTGTTACATATAGAGTCAGATACCGTTAGCAAAATTGCTCTCAGGTTTAATAAATCACTTTGCAAGTGCTAAATTAATATATTTACATGTTCTCCTCCCACAAGACACACTTTAGCGTGTAATCGCCCCATATTGCATATTCATTGCAGAAAAAGTACTAAATGGATAAGAGGCGCTATTTAGCACGTTTTAAAGACCAAATCCTTTTAGCACGCTGTTGATAGATCAGTTTGTACATTTTTAATCGTGCGCAGTGAAATAGCTCACGTTTTTATACACGCAAACCTTTGATAGATCCGGCCCTTATTTTAAGAAAAAAATGACTTATCTAGATTTTGATTCTTTCCAGGGTTGCATGATCTTTAAAAGAATAGCTTCTTCTCTGAGGCGTTTCAAACGTAAACCAAAGCCACCCCATTCTTCTTTAAAAAGACTCCTGGCTGTGCACACTCCGCTGAGCATCTCTGACCTGTTGTCAGGTGTTTCAGTTTAAAAAACACCAGTGGTGACAAACAGACACGTCCCATGGGACATTTGACTAAGCCCAGTTAATTTAACTCAGCCCCATAACCCCATGAGGAGCTGACAAATGTCAGGACGTATTGTG